TTAAGAGATGCTGTTGTTAAACCAAACATGGTTCAGATGGTTGTTAAACAAATAGCTGAGAGTCAATGATGACCCTAAGGCAGAGGTCCCCAATCCCCGCTCCTGTGCTCACTCACCAATGTAACTGTGGTTTACTGAGTTTATTAACATTCCCCAGTAATTCCCTTCACCAAAACCTCAGAACTCTCCCAGTTAAGTTCAGCCACAAGTAGGCCAAGATTAGTCCACAGAGCTATGACCTAATAATCCAAGATGGGCGGGTTTTTCTCCTCTCGAGGAGTCTGGCTGCCCTCCGCTGCTCCTGCCTTTTCTCTGTCCTGCGTGTTATAGTAGTAGTAGTAGTAGTAGTAGTAGTAGTAGTAGTAGTAGTAATAATAATAATAATAATAATAGGTGCCTTGGGTGCAATCCCAAAACAACTGGAGCACCACTTGAACACCATCGGCATTGACAAATTCGCCATTAGTCAATTGCAAAAGGTGGCCTTACTAGGAACTGCTTCCATCCTGCGATGATATCTGTAATACCATCAAACATCCACATCTGCCTATCCCAGATCCTTGGGAAGGACTCGATAGGTAGACAAAAATGCCAAGTCCAGTCTGAACATCTGGCTGACTGTGCGATGATCCATAATAATAATAATAATAATAATAATAATAATAATAATAATAATAATAATAATAATAATAATAATAATAGAGTTGGAAGGGACCTTGGAGGTCATCTAGTCCAACCCCCCTGCTCAGGCAGGAAACTCTGTACCATTTCAGACAAATGGCTGTCCAGTCTCTTCTTAAAAACTTCCAGTGTTGGAGTATTCATCGCTTCTGGAGGCAGGTTGTTCCACTGGTTCAGGGGTGTCAAACTCAATTTTACTGAGGGCCGCATCAGCATTGTGATTGCCCTCAGGGGGCTGAGTGGGTGTGGCCAGGGTGGGTGCGGCCTACTGGGTGGGTGTGGATGGAGTGGGTGTGGCCTACTGGATGGGTGTGGCCAGCTCTACATCGTTCGCGTCAAGGGGGCCTGTGGGGGCCTGGGCAGGAGTGGGTCAGATCTGAGGGTCTCTGGCAGAAGGGGGTGGGACCAGGGCAAGTGCCAAGGCATGGTCCAGTGGAGGAGACTCACCGTTCCTCTCAGGCCATGCGGGGTGGGGGGGCTAATGGAGCTAAGACTGAATGCATTTCAGCATAGATGGCCACCACAAAATTGTACATTGGCTCCCGGCTGGCCTGGGCCAGGGCCAAGGCAGAGGGGGCCGCTCCCTCACTGTTTCCAGGATGGCTTCACGGGCCACATGAAACCACTTCACGGGCCGTATCCGGGCCCCGGGCTTTGTGTTTGACATGTCTGCACTGGTTAATTGTTCTGTCAGGAAGTTTCTCCTTAGTTCTAGGTTGCTTCTCTCCTTGGTTAGTTTCAATCCGTTGCTTCTTGTCCTGCCCTCAGGCGCTTTGGAGAATAGCTTGACTCCCTCTTCTTTGTGGCAGCCCCTGAGATATTGGAACATATTGTTCTTGTCTTCGCTGGCCGTCTGCCACCACGAACTTTCCCCAGCTGAAGCCACCCCAAAATCTCTTTCGGACGGCCATTCAGAGCTATTAATCAAATCGGTTCCTGACGTGCCGGGAAGGGGCTCAACCTCCTCTGAACTGACTCTTGAGGAGGAATCTGGGGAGTTGCCCAAGGGAGGCATCACAGGTCCGTGGCCCGGAGTGAGGCCGCAGCCCGGAATCAGGCCACAGCCCGCTGGTCCGCACAAGCAGTGGGTGAGCGCATGAGCATGAAGCTGCATTTGTGCAAGCAGCGCGCGTGCTTGCAAAATTACCCCCCTCACCTCCTTCTGTTGCCAGTCCCAATGAGCTGCGAAGATTGGGGACCACTGCTTTAAGGGACATTTGGGTATTTTTTGTGGTGTAAAGACACACTGCAGAGGCTTTCTTTGGAGCACAACAGAGCATCTTTGACATATTGAGATGTGCCAAAGGCTCTAACTGTTATTCTAATGAGAAGATGCTGTATTTAGCTGAGAAAGGAAACAGAAAGGAATACAGTCAATTTACAGCCTTGGATCAAGGCATAAAACTCATTTATTTACCAACAGACAACCAACTAACATCATAACAAGGATCCCGTACTTACAAGGTGCTACTAGAGAAATACCGTACAATTAAAAACATTGACAACGTGAAAACGAGAAGACATGTAACGGTACACAGCACCTATAACAAAATGGATTACAGGATGCTATAATTAATTCAAGCTACAGTATACAGGGAGTCCTTGACGTACGACCACAACTGAGCCCAACATTTCTGTGTCCAAGTGAGACAGTTTGTTAAGTGAGTTTTGCCCCATTTTCACGACTTTACTTGCCCTGCATTACTGCCGCTGTTAAGTCAGGAGCCTGGTTGTTAAGTAAACTGGCTTCCCCATTGACTTTGCTCATCAGAAAGTCACAAAAGGGGATCACACGCCCCCGCCTGGACACGACAACCGTCATAAACACATGCCAGTTGCCAAGCATATGTATTTTGATCAGATGATCATGGTCAGGGGTAGGCAACCTTGGCTCTTTTATGACTCACGGATTTCAACTCCCAGAATTCCTGAGCCAGCATGGCTCAGCTTGGAAACCTCTCCCTTTCCCCTCACCATGTCTGGCTCAGGAATTCTGGGAGTTGAAGTCCACGAGTCATAAAAGAGCCAAGGTTGCCTGCCCCTGACCATGGGGATGCTGCAACGGTCGTGTCAAAAACGGTCACAAGTCACTTTTTTTCACTGTTGTTGTAACTTTGGACAGTCACTAAATGAACTGTTGTAAGTCGAGGACTATCTGTACACATCCTTGAATCTCCTGCCTCGGATCATGGCATAAATTCGTATAATTACCAACAGGCAACAAACTGCCATCATAACAAGGATCCCATATTTAACAAGATGCTGCCAGAGAAATACGGTACAATTAAAAACATACTGCACAGAACGCGTATAATGAAATGATCATCGGATACTCTAATTAATTCAAGCTACAGCGTATTCCGATTCACCACAGGGAATGGCTACATTCAAGAGCTGTCCAGTTGAAAGCTAGATTTTAAAAAATGGCATTTTAATAAGTCCCCAACCCTGAGCAGTAAATCCATTAGGTTTTGCTTCATGCCAGCCACCTTCCGATCTAATAGGCAGGCCCTTGAAGTTTAAATTTAAAAAAGCTTGAATCTGTGGTCTGGTCCTCAGGTCATTTAGAATTACGCTGCCTAATCTCAACTTTTCTAATGTCTTCTCTGTTCCAATTCATACAAAAAAGGCCACTGGAATCAAGTTATTGCAATTTCTACAGGTCTAAATGTTCCTTCTTCGGTAAAACTGGTCTGCTTGGAAAAAAAAAATCTAGCAACAGAATGCATGTACAAGTATTATTATTTTCAAAAGAGAGGCAGCTATAAAGCTGTAAAGCTTTTTAGTCTCCTCAAAAGCTGAGCGGAAGAGCGATTTCTACCCACTCAGCGCCAGACCAGAAAATTGCTCTCTGCTGCAGTAAATTACGTTAGGATGAAATGAATAAATAGGATACAGTCGCCTATTGTGCTACTCCACGGTTGAACCACGGTGTGCTGAATAAGTCACAATTCGTGGGATTCACCCAACACGGTAAAACGAGATCAAAGTGGCCGGGTACCCATGTCACTTCAAGTCAAACTGAAGGAAATTAACTTCAGAGTTGAATCAAAGCCGGTTCTGGTTTAGTGTTGGGGGAGACCAAACGCCAAAAGTCACAAGAGACTCGGGAGGTCCACGCAGGGCCCACATGTTGAAAGCAGCAGCTCTGATCCCTTTCATACATGCAAAGGATGTCGTAACGTACAAGTAGTCCTTGAATTAGGACCACAACTGAGGCCAAAATTGATGTTGCTAAGTGAAGCATTTGTTACATGTGTTTGCCTCATTTTACGACCTTTCTTGCACAGTTGTTAAGTGAAGAGGGGGGAGGTGTGGTTTCACGCGCTGCCTGGACTCCACATGTGTGCGAGTGGGGCTTCACGTGGTTGCCCGCCTGCCTGCCTGCCTGCCTGCCTGCCTGCCTTCCTTCCTTCCTTCCTTCCTTCCTTCCTTCCTTCCTTCCTTCCTTCCTTCCTCTCCCTCCCCTCCCCTTCCCCTTTCCTTTCCTTTCCTCTCCTCTCTTCTCCTCTCCCTTCCACATCCTAGTCCAGGGGTAGGCAACCTTGGCTCTTTTATGACTCGTGGACTTCAACTCCCAGAATTCCTGAGCCAGCATGGCTCAGCTTGGAAACCTCTCCCTTTCCCCTCAGCATGGCTGGCTCAGGAATTCTGGGAGTTGAAGTCCACGAGTCGTAAAAGAGCCAAGGTGGCCTACCCCTGGACTAGTCAATCACTGAATCACTCAATGTTTGGGAGATAATTTGTGCATAAAGATCAACCCAAGACTCTTCAAAACAGATCTGAACGGAGTCACCTAACCCATTCTCCACAAAGCAATTTCTCTGATTTAAATCCTACAAAGCCGGTAGGAGACTTGCGGTGGGAAAATGGCCGGAGGACACCCGTTCCAGGACTTTTCCCAGCTCTTTGCAGTTTGGCAGGGAAGAAGCACCATTTTGATCCAGGCAATGACCCAGGAGAGAAGAAAAGTAAACCCTTCCCTTGTCCCAAAGGTGATTTTTTTTCAGGAGGCAACTGGACTTTCTTGTTTTTCTTTGAAGAAGCTTCTTGGATGAGAAGCGAAACGTCTTCAAAGGAAGAACAAGAAAGTCCAGTTGCCTCCTGAAAAAACATCTTTGGGACACCGTGACCTGGAGGACTGAGAATCTCCACAGTCATAACCCTTCCCTTCCTCTACCATGACTTTTCCGGACGTTACTTGAACTCTCCCGCTGTCCCTCTCAGGTTTCCCCAAATTAACCGGGAAACCCTGTCCAAGATATTCCTCGGTCAGACTCGCCATTCTTGTTTCCTTCTCTTTTTGGCTAAGAAGGGGTTTACGCAGCGGCTTTTTCAAGTCTTCCCACGTTTCTCAATCTGGACCTCCAGTTTGGTCTTGGAGGACTACGTGACGGGGAAGTGCTGAGAGGGAGTGAAGGTGCCCCGCTTTCCTTCTCGTGTCTCTTCTCATGCTTCACGCGGGTGGAGTTGCGCTTAAAGCTTTTGCCGCAGCTGTGGCAACGAAAGGGTTTCTCCCCCGTGTGGGACCTCTGGTGCGAAACCAGGTGCGCCTTTTGAACAAAGCCGGCGTGGCAGAGCGAGCACTTGAAGGGCCTGTCCTTGGTGTGGGTTCTCTTATGCACAATGAGGTGGGTCCTCTGGCAGAAGCTCTTCTTGCAGCTGGGACATTTGTACGGCTTGTCTCCCGTGTGGATCCTTTCGTGCTTGACCAGGGACGAGTACAAGCCGAAACTCTTCCCGCAGTCGGAACACTGGTGCGATTTCTCTCCCGTGTGGGATTTCTGGTGCCTCCGAAGGTCGGGCATCCGGGTGTAGCTTTTCCCACAGCCCGAACACTTGAAAGGCTTGATCCCACGGTGGGTCCGCTGGTGGGAATAGAAGTGGGAACTCCGGTGGAAGGTTTTCCCGCAGTCGGAGCAGCTGAACCGCTTCTCTTTTTTGTGCGCCTTCTTGTGTTTGGTAAGATGGGACCGCTGGCTGAAGACCTTCCCGCAATCCGAACACTGATAGGGAGTGGTCCTTTGGTGCATCTGCCTATGCTTCAGAAAGGGGATATCCTGATTGAATACTTTCCCACACTTGGGACATGTTTTTGGTTTCCTTCCTTTGCCGATTCCTGGCTGAAGGAGGACTTCACTGGTGTTTTGAGGGTTGATGGGAGAAAGAATTGATTTCCCTTCTCTGGTCCTTTGTCCAGCTTCCCTCTGTCTTTCAGATTTGCGTTGAGGATAAGTTGTGGGCTCCTCTGGGCGAGGGCCCGCGTCTTTTCTCAAAGACCCTTGAGCTACCGTTTCCTCAACATTGGCTGGCTGGAGATTGTTTTCCTTCTCTTTCTCCTTTTCCTTCTCCATCTTCTCGTTCTCCATCTTCTCCTTCTCCGTCTGCCTTGTCTTCTTCTCTTTTCCCTTCTCCATCTCCATCTGCCTCTTCTCCTTCTCTTTCTCCTTCTCCATCTTCTCCTTCTCCATCTCCGTCTGCCTCTT